ATCGATAGGTAGATAGGTAGGTAGATAGGTAGGTAGATAGGTAGGTAGATAGGTAGGTAGGTAGGTAGGTAGGTAGGTAGGTAGGTAGGTAGGTAGGTAGGTAGGTAGGTAGGTAGGTAGGTAGGTAGGTAGGTAGGTAGGTAGGTAGGTAGGTAGGTAGGTAGGTAGGTAGGTAGGTAGATAGATAGGTAGATAGATAGATAGATAGATAGATAGATAGATAGATAGATAGATAGATAGATAGATAGATAGATAGATAGATAGATAGATAGATAGATAGATAGATAGATAGATAGATAGATAGATAGATAGATAGATAGATAGATAGATAGATAGATAGATAGATAGATAGATAGATAGATAGATAGATAGATAGATAGATAGATAGATAGATAGATAGATAGATAGATAGATAGATAGATAGATAGATAGATAGATAGATAGATAGATAGATAGATAGATAGATAGATAGATAGATAGATAGATAGATAGATAGATAGATAGATAGATAGATAGATAGATAGATAGATAGATAGATAGATAGATAGATAGATAGATAGATAGATAGATAGATAGATTAGATAGATAGATAGATAGATAGATAGATAGATAGATAGATAGATAGATAGATAGATAGATAGATAGATAGATAGATAGATAGATAGATAGATAGATAGATAGATAGATAGATAGATAGATAGATAGATAGATAGATAGATAGATAGATAGATAGATAGATAGATAGATAGATAGATAGATAGATAGATAGATAGATAGATAGATAGATAGATAGATAGATAGATAGATAGATAGATAGATAGATAGATAGATAGATAGATAGATAGATAGATAGATAGATAGATAGATAGATAGATAGATAGATAGATAGATAGATAGATAGATAGATTAGATAAATGTGCAAACTGCTGGTAGAATGGACAGTAGACAGACCTACATTCACAATGAGACAGACATAATTTCTAGTTACCCCCATCTAATATTATGACCCTCTACATTAATATTCAATCCAGGTTGCATATCTCCACAATGCATTATACAGAATGTAACAAATGACCTGCAGTTTCCTTCCCCTGCCTGTTTGTATCGATTTCCTGATATTCTTGTTATGCAAATGTGGAGGCACAATGGCGAAATAATGTCCTGGGCCGCACGTTCATTCATTTGATGGAGCACATTCAGACAGTCCTAGTTTGGTGACACACCACACGTGCTGCAGAGGTGTACGTTAATTTATGGAGCACACAGCACAACTGTCATTATGTCCTATAAAATACGAGCATACGCCATGGAGTCAGTTTGCCACGCGTCAGCTTTTTATTAGGTACTGTTAAGTTATTTCGAAAAGAATGACGAAAACGTCACAAATCTTCACCCACACTACTGCAGGTCAAACCAGCCTGGTGATGCTGTTTCGGGTGCTCGAATTATAAATTCTTCGGAGGCTGAATGTTGTATCTGGGTTTTTCCCTGTTGGTCTGCCATCCAGACTGAGGATTTTAGAATCTCAGGGTGTCAGCCCAACCTTCAGGTGTCTGCTAGGGAGGAAATATTTTGTGGAGGGAGGATGAAAGAAAGGGGGTGGTGGGGTGGTAGGAGCACACATGAGTAGGAAAAAAAAAAATTTGCCCGATCCGAACTTCAGGTTTCTATGCAACAGTCGGGGGACCCAGGTGTAACTGTTAATGTGGTTGAACTGGGTTCGTAGGATTTGTACCTGTTCGAATATCATCCTTGTGTCAATCCTGCAGATTAAATTCCTGGAGAGATAAACTAGAGTATCCTTTTCCAGGCCACCAGGCGTATTGGGCATTTAGTAAATAGCCTCCTACTCCCTTTCCTCCCCAATCATCCCCCGCCCTCCCCCCTCCCCCAAAAGTGAAGGACACTTTCCCACTCCTTCAGTCGTATTGGGCGTATAGGGCTAGACCTTAAATTTATAGACCAATCGGTACTCAGTGGGTGATATGGTCAACATCACGCCGGCCGTCTTTACTTCCCAGAACTATACCTGGTATTCATTTCAGGCTAAGTCGACCTGGGAGCCAGGGCAGTTTTTGAAAAAAGTCCAGTTCCATCAGGGTCTGAACTCACAAGACCTTCGGACCCGCAGGCAAACATCTAGCAGTTACACCACGGCGGCTTCCGAGGGGGCAAACTACCAGCCTAATATACAAGTAATTAATATTAATTCTGAACAAAAAATGGGGTGAATTCAAGAGAGGTGAATAAATCAGAGAAATGTCTAGACAACGAATAGTCTCAACAGTTGAAAGACAGCAAAGATGCATTCATATTGGACACATTGTGGGAACACATGAGCAGAAATAGGGAGACTGAAAACCCCGTGACGTCCTAGAAAAGGTAACTATTGATGTCAAGGTAAACATTTATTGTAGTAGGTAAACATTTATGGGAGAAGGTAAACATTGACGAGAGAAGGCAAACATTGATGAGAGAAGGTAAACATTGATGAGAGAAGGTAAACATTGATGAGAGAAGGTAACCATTGATGAGAGAAGGTAAACATTGATGAGAGAAGGTAAACATTGATGAGAGAAGGTAAACATTGATGAGAGAAGGTAAACATTGATGAGAGAAGGTAAACATTGATGAGAGAAGGTAAACATTGACGAGAGAAGGTAAACATTGATGAGAGAAGGTAAACATTGATGAGAGAAGGTAAACATTAATGAGAAAAGGTAAACATTGACGAGAGAAGGTAAACAATGATGAGAGTAGGTAACCATTGATGAGAGAAGGTAAAAATTGATGAGAGAAGGTAAACATTGATAGGAGAAGGTAAACACTGATGAGAGTAGGTAACCATTGATGAGAGAAGGTAAACATTGATGAGAGAAGGTAACCATTGATGAGAGCAGGTAACCATTGATGAGAGAAGGTAAACATTGATAGGAGAAGGTAAACATTGATGAGAGTAGGTAACCATCGATGAGAGAAGGTAAACATTGATGAGAGAAGGTAAACACTGATGAGAGAAGCCAGAGGTATTGAACTGGACTCTGTTCATGACATCAAAGTGATTTCGCAGGAGAAAACCGAATGGAAAAAGAGTCCTACGTGAAATACAGTGAGTTCTTTTAGTTCAATGACAAGGTACCATCAAGTAACGGTCCGTGGTAGAAAAGCAGTCAGTCAAAAGACTAAGGCAAACAAACATAGTCAGCATAGGACACAACGTTACTGTCTATTTTCCTAGGGTTTCCCAGTAAAACTGAGGGAGGCTGAGTGGTCGCGAGGCATGGCGTCCGCCTCGAGTGCTGGAGGTCCCGGGTTCACGTGAACTTCCAGTAATTTCCCCTGGTCTCTGGGTAGTAAGATCGGACGAACTTCTGCATTGAAAAAAATCCCTTATCAGTTGGAAATCGAAAAGAGTAGCCAAACGGTGGTGGGCGGGCAAAATTTATAGTTTAAAATCTACCCAAAAGTATTTAAGAATCCTCGCCGGTGCAACGGAGTTCGTGCACTGCGCTGCGAAACTTCGGACCCAGTTTTCAGTTAAAAGTAGAATGGAGCACCTATTGGTGACTAAACTTGTACCATGATGTTGATCCGTTATATAAACCATAAAACATAACATAACTATATATATATATATATATGGAACTCTCTATTTTCTGGACTCTCTATTTTAAAAATTCTTGTCTTTGGAACATTTACATGGTGAGGCTCTAGTCTGTTCCATCGTACTACTGCATGGAAACTACTAGAACGTGTGTTTTTTTAAACTTGCACCGCGGAGAACGAATCCAACTACGTAAGGATCCCCTATTCTACGGGCATTCAAATCGTGACTGTTTGGGTCATTGGGTCATTTCAAGGCCGACCTCTACTACGAAATAAAGATGTGTCCAAGCGGAACATGAATGATACAGCTTTTGAGGTTAACTCGTGGTAACAAAATGTCACGGATTGTGTTGTGTGGAGGGGGACACATCAAGAAGAGAATGAGAATGAAGGGAAAAAATCTGCAGAAAGGATGAGAGCTGAGCGTCTAATACATACTAAACACAAATGTTGACAACAATGGTCCTGAAATCCCATGCTATAATTGAGGACAACTTTTCTTAACGCAGGCGGGTCTTGCTAGTCACACTCGCCATCGCCATGGGCTGTGAATCCCATGCCTCCTTATAGCGCAATATAACACTTACGTCTGGAAAGAGTCAGTTGGTATTAATCTTCACCAAGCGGTCAAAGTGGCGGAATGTCAAAGCTTTTGTAAAATTGAATGTGAGGGCCTAAGTGTGTATATCTTTGCCTAAACGTAAATCTCAACTCAACTCTTGTAAGAACAAACTTAAAAAAAAAAAAAAATAAAAAAAAAAAAACTCAAGTTCTGGCACATGACCAGTGTTCAGAGATGGACGAACAGCAGAGCTTTCCGCCGGAGTTTACGACCGATGAATGCTATGGAGTAGAAGAAGAAGAAGAAAAGGAAAGATAAATAGCAGTCTCGTCAGTCTACAAGTGTTTCCAAAACTTTTCTTAGTCGCGGCGCCTTTTTTTTTTTTTTTTTCAATTAAAAATCGTTACGGCGCCCTAATCTAAGTAAAAGTATGACTATTCGTATGTAAGAGGTAAATAAAACTCGTGTATCTTTGAATATTTGGCGGCGCCCATGTGAAGAGGTGGCGGCTCTCAGGGGCGCCACGGGGCACAGTTCGGGAATCACTGGTCAACGGGAATCGTAAACAAGGCGAGCAGGCTTCTGGTATCTAGATAAGTTTATCCCATTTCAGGAAAACTTTCTGAAAACAAAAGGGGAAAAAAATTCCCGTTACATAAATCACATTGTTTTTAATAACATTGGTATTCAGGTTTCATATACGTTGATTTGTCTAACCACATTGCTTTCTCTAATGTTTTACAGGCAACAAAATGACGTTTCAGGCGAGGTGACGACAGCTAAAGATAACTTCCTTGCCACTTGAGTCTGCCATCCATTCCACTGTTTCATTATGAGACCAGCTGTCCATGCCAGCTTTCTCAGGTGTGTGCTGGATAAGTGTATTTCTTCAATAAATTCTTACTAATATTGTCATACATTATTTTGAACAGTTTAGTAATAATGTGAGGATGAAGTGTTTTGTATGGGGTTTTATCTCATCTAGCCAGGCCACTTATTGCTGACATCCTGTCAAACCCCATTGCTTTCTCAACAGCTCTATGAGGAGCAGGAGAAGAAAGGGAAAGAGGATGACTGGTAAGAGGAAGAGGAGGATGGATGGAAGGGGAGAAGAAGACGAGTAAGAAGAAGAAGAAGAAGAAGAAGAAGAAGAAGAAGAAGAAGAGCTGGATGGGAAGGGAAAAGGGGGACGAATAGGATAAGCACAACGAGGATTGCTGTTGTAATTTCTGCATATAGTGGACATTGTTATCAGAAAGGTTGCCCCCTCATTTTACCAGTTCCACATTTAAACTCAGTATGTAATAAATTTAATGTATGAAACAAGCTGTGTATCAGCTTACAGATCCCTGCAGACCTTTAGAGAGCCTGAAGATTGTTGTCTGATCACTAAAGCAGAGCTGCATGGAAGCGAATACACAATAGGAGACTGTTAATGGCAAGCAAAGAATTTTTTTTTTTTTTTACCCAGAAGGATCGGTTGTCTGTGATTCTAATGAGTCTGGACAGGCTCCGGTAAAATACCGCTGAAGGAGACAAGTGGTTTAGACGCTTGACTAGCTCGTGTCAGATCAGATCAGCTGCATCTTGACAAGGATCTTTCTTACAATAGCTGCAGAACTGCTGATCACAATTCTGGCTGCGCTTTTTTTTTCCGTTTAAATTTCATGTTGTAGAAACAATTGATCTTGTGTTTAATCAACCATAGCCAAGACATATTCAGCATATTCATGTTATTGAACATACAGTGTACATGTAAAAGACAAGTAAATTCGTCATCATCAACAACATCGTTATCATCATCACGGTCATCAATAGCATCATTAACATCATCACTGTCATCATCATAATCAGCATCAAATTCTTGATCAACAGCATCAAAATCAAAAACATCACCAGCACCATCATCCTCATCGTCATCATTATCATTGTTATCAGCAACAACATCAACATTAAAACCATAATCAGCACCGTCACCGTTATCAGTATCGCCATTATCATCAACATCAACATCATCTTCAACATCACTAGCATCGTCGTCGTCATCAATAGAATAGTGCCAGCTGGATTAGACCTTCATGTCTTTCCACTGAGATTACTCCTCTATCTTCTGATAATGTTCTATTGTCAACAGACCTATCCTTTGAAGAGAATAAATGAAAAAAAGATATAGAGCGAACGAACGAACTTTATTTTCAAAAGGTCACAAATTGGGCACGCAGACCCGTCTTACATTTGGCCCTTTCAAACGCCTATCTTTCACACAACAGCAGTATTTTATCAGTAAAACATGTTACGTTCATATAATATTATGCATATTAAGAATATCAAGAAAAAAAACACAAAATCTTAGATGGGATAATGCATGCACACACGCGCGCACACCCCCCCCCCCCACACACCCACTCACTTACACACACATACACACAGACAGACAGACAGACAGACAGACAGTCACACTTATACACACACAGACACACACAGGCACTCACAGACACGCACTGACACACACAGACGCGCGCACACAGTAACACACACACACATACAAACAGTCATATATGCACATGCATACATACTTAAAATACCTTCTCACTCATAAAAAAAACTCTCAAAGATAGTTATAAATACAAATGCCAATTCATCCACATACACACATGGTCGCCCATGCATACACATACTCGCACGTATCCATGCATGCACAAACACCCATATATACACGAATTCATACGAATATGAACACCCATACACACACTCATGCCGTGTGGCGTTGGTAGTCATGTCTAACCCACAGCCTTCTGTCTCGTGTATTTTCAGTCAGCTTTGACACAAATGATACACATACTCATACACACACAGAAGCATGCATACATAAATACGTCTACACATACAGACATACGTAATATCACACCTATACATTCACACGTCGGCCTCGGTGACTTAGGCGTTGGGAATGCACTTAGTAATACCTGGGTGCCCGATTCGATCCCTCCTACTACGAACGAGTTGTCTTGCCCTGGTTTCAACAATGGTATTGAGAGCTGACTTTTTAGAAAGCAATGGCAAACTACTGAACGCAAAATTTGCCTTGAAAAACCACAACTGGCTAACCGTGTTGTATAGGGCGAACACTAAAGAGGAACTTCAGACAGCCATGTTTGTCGTGTGTGCAATCCATTGTCTGTGTTCCATTCATTTCATCCCATACCCAGGGGAGGGAAAGAGGGGGTAGACCCATTGCACCCTCCCCCCCCCCTACAAGCATGTCGTAAAATAAGATAATTACTGTTTCCTTAGAGGTGAGGCCGTATCCATGTGAGAGGCGAGAAACAAACAGTCTGCATACAAATAAACCAAAGCTGTTAAACGGATGTGCAAGCAAAGCTTAGGTTCTGGAACAAGACTAAAGCGAGCAACCATAAGCAGCACTGATCACACTGAAGAAGTTGTTTAGCCCACTATCTCTGTTCTGTTTTGCACGAAATTATCTGCGCTCGTATTTATCATTCATGGCTTACATTCACGCATCTTCGCAGTTATTTCAACAACTAGTGGTAACATAGTGTTGAGCTCAGTTATTTCCACGAAGTTGACAGCAAAGATTGGTGTCACCAACTGTAAAGAGAAGGCCAACCAGAGAGATGATTGGAAGCGGATGATATTTGCAGTAGTGAACTTCAAGAAGAAGAAGAAGAAGAAGAAGAAGAAGAAGAAGAAGAAGAAGAAGAAGAAGAAGAAGAAGAAGAAGAAGAAGAAGAAGAAGAAGAAGAAGAAGAAGAAGAAGAAGAAGAAGAAGAAGAAGAAGAAGAAGAAGAAGAAGAAGAAGAAGAAGAAGAAGAAGAAGAAGAAGAAGAAGAAGAAGAAGCAGCAGCAGCAGCAGCAGCAGCAGCAGCAAAAGAAGAAGAAGAAGAAGAAGAAGAAGAAGAAGAAGAAGAAGAAGAAGAAGAAGAAGAAGAAGAAGAAGAAGAAGAAGAAGAAGAAGAAGAGGAAGAGGAAGAGGAAGAGGGGGACGAGGAGGAGGACGAGGACGAGGACGAGGAGGAAGAGGAAGAGGAAGACAGCACAGATTATTTTATTAACAGGTGTATAAGCTAAAGTTGAAAAAAAAAAACATTAGTTGCGTATCATTCACAGGACGTTGTGGCACCAACACCAACATTTTTTTAATGTTGTGGTTTTTCTATACAAATTTTACGTTCAGTATAAGCTTTAGAGTTGCTATTAAAGCTATGCTGTGGTCACTTAAGTGGAGCTTTGCAAGAGGACCAAATTGTTTTTAATTATCCAGTTTCGTCCTTTTCAGGACGAAATTTTTTGTCATTTGAAGCCCTACTCTGGCTTTATAGGCAATATAGGCAGGCCATAAATATGGCCAAATGTCTGAACGAGGTTTCTGGGACCTCTCCACGGCGATCCTCACCCGCATGGTGGCACTTTGTGTCATCGGGTGTTCATCGCTTGTGTGATGTCCTGGTGGGGTAGAAAGTCAGTCAGTCAGTCAGGACCAAATTACAATAAATTGTCAAGTAGTGTTCAAAAACAAAACAAAGCAATGCTGGGCACACGTTCGGAAAACCTGGCAATAGTTTTCTCTTGCACTGGAACTCACAGGGGGTGAAGAAATAAAAGTGGGCGGTACAAATCACGAAATTCACCAAATCTCGTCACTCGCGTGATTTCGTAGGGGATTTCCCGGTAAACTTCTATAGTCTAGGGGTGTCTTGTGTTCCTTGTTTTGACCGTTTCAAGCAGAATCACCAGCGACGACGGCCCGCCAACGAGCGTAATAATACAAAAACATCAATGATTCGATACTCCTGAAGCGTCGCGCCTTTCTCTCTTCTTCCTGTAGTACTTCTTCCTCGTACTCAGGCGACTTCGGCGCCTGAGATCTACGTTAACATAAATTATACTCGCAGGGCTATTCAACTAAGTTGGCTTAGGGACCAAAATGTTCAAAAACGGGGGATCGTCACGGGCCAATGGCCTCAGCCCCAGCATAGAAATATCAAAATACAATACAGCTAGAAGTGATCCGCGGGCCACTTGCTAGGCCTTGGCGGGCCAGATCTGGCCTGCGGGTCGCCAGTTGAATTGCCCTGTAGCTTCGAAGAAAAAAAAACTGCAGCTGCCGCTTTTCGACTAGGTGAATACAAACCGCGAAACGAGCCACGTCGTACCGCCCCGCCCCCGCCCCCTCCCCCCCCCCCCCCCCCCACAACATAGGACAGTGTGTGGTAACTGGCACGACATGAATGAGAGCTGGCACGAAATTTCGCTTGCGAACTAGATAAGGTGAATTCTGTGATTAGTTCCAAATAGATTAGTGTGATTTAACCGAGGGCTGCATGTGTTTAAGAGAAGCATACAACGGCGCACGTGCGACTAACAAATCATGCTCGCGTTGAGAAGGATCTTTCCACGTAGATACTTGTGATTTCAGTGCCATTATTCCCATAGATGTACTTTATATGCTTTCCAGTTTATAACCTAAATGCAGATATTTTCTTATTTGTCCCTACTGAATTCCCAATTTGCTCCTTTCGTGTGATCAATGGCATCCTGTTCCAAAAAATCCACCTCAGTACCTGTATCAGTCACGTCCCGATAGCACACATTTTTATATCGTAATAGTGGCCGGCAATGATATCTTCTACATATCCGTAATTCACCACAAAGCGGAGCTTTCTAAACCTTTCATGTCAGTGACACACTTTGTAAACAAATTTCGCCACATAGTAATTCTGTTTACTAGCATACAGAAGGTTAAATTCACCACTTAAAATAGTCGTGGACACAGTCATAGGTTGTTTTTTAATGCTTTAATTTTCTCGCAACACAGCCTTACATTGCAGCCGACACACAAATGTGTTGGGACACAGTTTGGAAAGCTCTGTGACACAACGGCGTTGGGGATATTGGTCATGATAGCTTTGTTTATTTACCACAGAAACCGAGGGCTTCACCAGAAGAGAAGGAAGCGCACCCATGTCTTCTCCCCACTTCGCCTGGTCATCCTGGTTGTATCTGGTGTCTTGCTGTTTATTCCTGGCCTAGTACTGACCATTGTCGGGCTACAGAACCAAGGTGCTGTCCTTGATAGACTTCAAGAAGTGTAAGTGACGTGGTTGAATCTGATTTCTTTGTTTGATGTCAGTTTATGTTCTCTTATCGTCGGCGTCTTTGGCTTTGGCGTTGCGAACGCGCTTCGTAATGCCAGGGTGCCGGGTTCGATCCCAGCCGCAGGCGATTTTCTTCGCCTTACGTTGCTTCCATTTAGGAAGCAATGGCAAACTCCTGAACGTAAATTTATCTTAGAAAAAAACCACAACAGCTAAAAAATCCTAGGGTGGGTTCTGAAATGTCCTGTAAAGGATACGCAACTAACTTTTATATTTATTTTTTATGTTATCACAATCGCGCTCAGGCCTCAAACGCAGCAGTCACTTTAAGGTACCTCTGCTGGTTGTTTCCATGAGGAGTTGGTTATAAATAATGCCTCCTATCTTCGCCTTAAAGGTCGTATAGACGCACTTCACTGTGCTTTACTTCCAGGTCACGCAATCCTGTTAGTGTCAGAGATTTCTCATTATCCACTAGACCAGTCCGTACAGGGTTGCTGATATCTGCTCTGGCCATGCGTCTTCCCGCGTGCACTGGTTGATTGCTTGCCAGGTGGCCCGCTCCCTCATTACCTTTTACCTCCCTGTATGTCGTCTAATGCATTACCAGAGAATCACATCAATATATGAAAGAAAAGAAACAAAAAGAACTCTTTCCCACTAAAATATACAGATCACTATGTCTCTGGTTAAACACTATATCCCAAGGTAGGGAAATTCGAATAAGCCACAGACTATGAAATTTCAGATTGTTTTCCTGCATTATTTCCATTTGCAATGGGAAAACCTTGTTTTAGGGAGCTTCGTGGTCTCGAAGCATGGTGTCCGCCTCGAGTGCTAGAGGTTCCGGGCTCAATCCCCGGTGAGGGCTGGGATTTTCTCATGTGGGTTCGGACTTCTAGTTATTTCCCTGGGTCTCTGGGTAGTGACATCCGATGCCCGTGTGCATTGTTGCGCACGTAAAAAATCCTTTTGCAGTTGGAAATCGAAACAGCGCTTCACGGGCAAAAATATTGGTTTAAAATCTATCCAACGTATTTCAGGATCCTCGCCGGTGCTACAGAGCCTGTGCTGAGCTTCTTCGGACTCAGACTTGAGGTAGAAGAAGAACGGAACACTTTTGGGTTATTACCCGTGTGTCGCGATGTTGATCCGTTGTTCAAACTTCAGACCTCAATCCTTGTTTTAAATTATAGAACAAATAAAGATTCCCCATTCAGTTCAAAATACTGTTTCCAATTAATATGTCAAACGATAAAACGATGGTGTTAAACATGTCAAAATAGCTGACACAAAATGGCATAGACGGTGGAGTTCCAGCTTACCCGTTCCATTATAATGCAGACATTCAGGTAATCACCATTCACTTCATAAAAATTACAGGATGGACTTGGCAACAAAATGTGAGGAAAAATCGGTGTCTTGATCTGACAGATAAATGTAGCATCTTTTTATTTGTTGTATTTTATTCGTGTCATAAAAACATTATGGAGACAGGCACTGTACTATGTTAGCTGCAGAGGCGCGCCGTCACATAAAAAACAATAGAGGGGTGGGGCTTGGGCATGTGCGTGATACGGGGCGTGGGTGGGGCTGTAAAACGTACAAAGTGTAATCATCGAGGGGAAGGCGTGGGAAAATATACAATGGAAAATATGTTTTTGAAGCATAGGATGTGTGTGTTGTGTGCTTAAAAAAAGCGAAAAAATGAGCGCGGGGGCAGTGGGAGGGTTGAAGAACGTGTCAGGAACTTTTCCGTAACTGACCTTGCAATGCCACTAGGGTGACAAGAAATGTTTCTCACCGCGTACCATGTGTTCCATGAAATAAAAACTGGCTCTGCCTAACCTAAGTTTTGTCACGCAATTCCCCTTACTACTTTGCGTTCAAATCTCGCATACTCTCCTCTTGCTTACCAATGACCATTAAAGGTTAGTTACATATCCTTTACAGGACGTTGCAGAACCAATCCCAACAGCCCCTGGCCGTTGTGTGGTTTTCCTAGGCAAATTTACATCCAGTAGTTTGTCATTGCATCTGGACGGTCGGCCTTCTTGATACCACTGTTGAAACCAATGCAAGGCGTATGTCCCGCAGCTGGGATCAAACCCGACATCCCGGCATTACGAAGCGTTCGCATCGACTTAGCCACAGAGCCGACAATGACCATTACTATTCTGTATTTATATTCCGTGTCTCTCGATTTTCATGCACTTCCCATTTCTACTCAGCATTTAAATTCCATGTCTCTTGTCCTGTCATGCACTTCCCATTTCTACTCAGCATTTAAATTCCATGTCTCTTGTCCTGTCATGCACTTCCCATTTCTACTCAGCATTTAAATTCCATGTCTCTTGTCCTGTCATGCACTTCCCATTTCTACTCAGCATTTAAATTCCATGTCTCTTGTCCTGTCATGCACTTCCCATTTCTACTCAGCATTTAAATTCCATGTCTCTTGTCCTGTCATGCACTTCCCATTTCTACTCAGCATTTAAATTCCATGTCTCTTGTCCTGTCATGCAATTCCCATTACTACTTTGCATATAAATTGTTCTTGTCGTGTCATGCAATTTCCATTATTTCTATGCATTTAAAGTGTTCAGAACCAGAAGGTTTGTTAGGAGACCCTGAATGAAGAGGATGCAGCCATTACTGTGAAAAATCGCATACGACTTGCTTTTAAAGAGGCAAAATAGACAGTGATGTGTCCTATGGCGAAGCTAGATTTTGGGCTCTTCTGTCAGCTACGGCCGGTAGACAACAGTAGACGGCCGGTTACTCGGAGTTCTGTCCCCTGGCTGCAGTGCAATTACGGACTGGACAGGAGGACACGAAACAAATGACATAATTACTGTGTGTTGGCGATAGACAGCGTGCACTGCCCTGCTATAATCATACGGTTACGGTTTGGGTTAGGGTTTGGGTTAGGGGTAGGGTGTGGGTTAGGGTTAGGGTTAGGGGTAGGGGTAGGGTGTGGGTTAGGGTTACGCTTAGTGTCGCCGCGTCTCGTGTTCGCACAAACTCATAGTAGCAACCCAAACCCTAACCCTAAACCTAACCCAAACCTTACCCCTACACTTAACCCTAACCCAAACCCTAACCGTATGATGACAGTAGGGCACTGCACGTTGTCTATTGCCAACACACAGTAATTATGTCACTTGTGTCGTTCCCTCTGTTCCACTCCGTAATGCGTCGCTAATTTGAGTCGCAGCGCGGGGTCTGCCAGGCATGTCGACCTCACTGTGTTTTTTTATTCGTGCCTTCTCCAGTCCGTAATTGCACTGCAGCCAGGGGACAGAACTCCGACTAACCAGCCGTATACTGTTGTCTACCGGCCGTAGTTGACAGGAGAGCCAGATTTTGTTAGTGCTTTATGCCAAAATAAAAGAATGACGTTATGGTTGGAAAATTTGGGGACTAGCAAAACATATCTCGTGCGTCTCTCGATTGGAAAAGGATGGGGGGGGGGAGGGGGGTTAAATTACATGTCTCTTGTAATTCTCATTATGTAGCATTTAAATTATGCATCTTTCGCATTATCCGGTAATTCCAATTGTTTCTTTCCAAATACAGTATGTACCACGCGGCTGGCCCGGCCATGGGGACCGTTGGGATCGTCTTAATGTTTGCCTCGTGTATCTACTTCAACTGCTACGGTACAGTGCCACCAACGGCAGCCCCACTGACAAATCAGGTACAGTTGTTTTTGTTTACGAGATTAGAAACAAACATGACTTGACTTTAGCTAACATAGATATTACGTACCTTGGTTATTTGTAGTGGGTTTTTTCCTTAAGAATGGGGGGGGGGGGAATTGTTGGGGGGGGGGGGGGGAATTGTTGGGGTGGGGGGGGTGCGGGGGGGAATTGTTGGGGGTGGGGGGGGGAGATAATTGAAAGAGACTGAATCTACCTACCTACCTACCTACCTATCTACCTTCTATCTATCTAATCTAATATATCTATCTATCTATCTATCTATCTATCTATCTATCTATCTATCTATCTATCTATCTATCTATCTATCTATCTATCTATCTATCTATCTATCTATCTATCTATCTATCTATCTATCTATCTATCTATCTATCTATCTATCTATCTATCTATCTATCTATCTATCTATCTATCTATCTATCTATCTATCTATCTATCTATCTATCTATCTATCTATCTATCTATCTATCTATCTATCTATCTATCTATCTATCTATCTATCTATCTATCTATCTATCTATCTATCTATCTATCTATCTATCTATCTATCTATCTATCTATCTATCTATCTATCTATCTATCTATCTATCTATCTATCTATCTATCTATCTATCTATCTATCTATCTATCTATCTATCTATCTATCTATCTATCTATCTATCTATCTATCTATCTATCTATCTATCTATCTATCTATCTATCTATCTATCTATCTATCTATCTATCTATCTATCTATCTATCTATCTATCTATCTATCTATCTATCTATCTATCTATCTATCTATCTATCTATCTATCTATCTATCTATCTATCTATCTATCTATCTATCTATCTATCTATCTATCTATCTATCTATCTATCTATCTATCTATCTATCTATCTATCTATCTATCTATCTATCTATCTATCTATCTATCTATCTATCTATCTATCTATCTATCTATCTATCTATCTATCTATCTATCTATCTATCTATCTATCTATCTATCTATCTATCTATCTATCTATCTATCTATCTATCTATCTATCTATCTATCTATCTATCTATCTATCTATCTATCTATCTATCTATCTATCTATCTATCTATCTATCTATCTATCTATCTATCTATCTATCTATCTATCTATCTATCTACCTACCTACCTACCTACCTACCTACCTACCTACATATGCATCTATCGATCTATATATCTATCTAACTACCTACCTACCTACCTACCTACCTAACTACGTACCTACCTGTCTGTCTGTCTGTCTGTCTGTCTGTCT